AAATTGTGTAAGATGCACCCTTGTGGAATAAAAAAACATGAATGCAATTGTTAACTGTCCGCCATTAACAAACTACGCTGTGTCCCATTTCACTCCATAAAAAATGAACAAGGGCTTCTAAATTCACAAGTCAATGTCTTGAACAAAGTCATTTTGAAAAAGTTCGAAATAATGTACTTATCTCAACTCACCGCAACATTATTTAGTAGGCGCTTTTACAAGAAAAAAAAAAAACAGCTGGTTAAAAAAAATGCATTTGTCCAAATAAAGAAATGCCCGAGGCCACCGGCCACTATGAGCAAGGCGAGATGAATGTAACGATAATATCAAACGCTATATGGTTTGAAGCATCTATGCTGAAGATATTCTCAGCCATGCACATGAAGACAAGCCGGCTTGACACTTGACATGCACGAGTGAACCCTTTTCTCTCGTGCTGAGTTGCCCCGATGAGTGTGACTCACGACTCTTCCTGCCGCCAGGAAAGCGAGCAAATGTTATGGGGGTAATGAATGGCGGGGGTGCTTGTGGCTGTGCTATTCTATTGTAGCGGGTGAGCAGAGGAAGATGAGATGAAAGTGACTCTCATTTGTATAACCAAATCGGAAAAAAAAAAAAAAGGCTTTTGTGTGTCAGCGTCAAACGTCTTACCTGCTTCTTCCAGTTCTTGCACCCTCTGAGAGTCAGACATCTCTGCGTTATGCTCTTTCTTGCCCTCGTACTGTCTTCGTGCAGCTCTCTCCACCTTTAACGGACATTCAAGTGTTATGGAAGGAAGTCGATATAAAGCTTCAACATACATAAATACATTTCCAAAGGTTAATACATATGTCCATCAGTGGAAAAGCAGATATTTTTAAACAGTGCATGACAAGGTGTGCTATCAGCTATTGGCATGCTAGCAGGTTAGCTAACGATAACGCGGGTTTTTAGCTCGTGTTTTGGCAATGACAACGATCTCAGCGGCCTGTTCTCACTCACTCGCACATGGGCAAAGTGTGCTCACTTCAAGCAGTTTGTAAAAAAAATAAATAAAAGTGGAGCTCAGTTGTGAACCTTGCTTGCCTATTTGTTAAGCTGCATTGCTTCCAGTAAATCTCAGGGTTGTAACGTAAGGAGATGGTGAACTGATTGCGCACAACTCTAAATTGTGACTTGCCTGTTTGTGTACTGGGGGATGGGGGGCATTAAAAGACTGCTTCAAATGCTGCATTTTAGCAGGGCCGTGAAAGATGGACCACAAAATAATGGGGCAACACTAATTTATTAAAGTCGTCTGAGTTCTGTTGTGTGTTAATAAAAGTCAAATCATGTCTGGCCAACAAAATCATCAATTATCTGACTTTCAAGTAGATCACGCATGCTTAACTTAATCATACTTTTTTTTTAAATTGAAATGACGTAAAGGTCACCATAACTTTACAGTCCGTTTGTCTTTGCGACTGCCAGTAATTTTCATTACGCATTATAAAAATAGACACTGCACTGACCATGAACGCCCACTTTAGTGTTTTACGATGAAAAAAAAATGGAAGCTACATGGTTGTTATGGACACACTCAGACTTAACATATCAATGAGGTGCCTCTGCTGTATTGCGCACTCGTGTAAAAAAAAAAAAAAAAAAAAAAAGATGAAGGCGCATTGTGGCAAGCAATAACCAAATAAACAAAAGGCAAGTTTGCCTGCATGCTAGAAAACAGAACCAAATACCAAATTATGATCGTGCTGATGTCCTTTAAAATAAAAAAAGCCCGTGGAAGCGGGCAAGAGTCTTTTGAATCCACCACAGATGCCCTTGTGGAGTAATAAAACGAAAACGCAAGGGGGGGGGGGGTGGAAGAGAAAGATGCTGTGTGATCTCAGCGTGTGGTTTTGCGTGCTTTGATCTCGCATGCACATGTTTGATGGCAGGATTTATGAGACAGCCTTCATCTCGTCGAACGCTCTTCTACTTACAACCTACTTCGTGATGTCACCTGCCATTTATATTTAATGTGTGGCTGCACAGTCAATTTATGGACCAGGTAAACAATATCGCAATAAAGCGATTGAATTAAAGCATCGTTACGGTTATGTGCGGGGATTAAAAAAAGTGATAAATTTACCGGGTTCTGCAAGTCAATTCGATGCGTAACAGCTGACCTTCATCAACGATTAAGGTTTAGAAAATGGTTTGCGGCACAATCCGCACAAATTAAACGCAAATCAAATTTCAATGCAGGTAGGAATTGAAGCTTTAGAAGATTCTCCTTTGTTCAATTACTCTATTCAAACAAAATGAGCGTCATGGCGCATGTCATTGAACACCCTTTGATGAAAAAAGTTTTTAAACAAAAAAATAACACGACAAAAGGTCTGAACGAAACGTAATGGCGCCATCTACTGGCGGGATGATGCACAATAAGAATGACAAACCTTCGACTGGAGTGGCTCTAAACTTCACAATACAGTGATATTGACGTTGTGGAGTACACGGCACTTAGTTTTTTGTCCCAGTGAGAGAAGTCAGACGCGCTCATGTTCCCGTTGGTGTGTCTTTCGATGTAATTGACATCACATGAGCTCGTCAAGCACACACAAGACTTAAACTGCTCCCTTCTAGGGCCGGTCGTGTTTGTGTGGCCCACACAAACAATTGACTGGTAAAATGCTTTCAATTTGTCAAGTTAGCTTTTCTGCACAATTAATTGTTCAACTTGAATGGGGGTCTTTGCCTTTTATGAGTAAGTCGATCCGCAGCTCACTCGAAGCCTTTCGTGCGTCGTGCGGTCACTGCAGCCGGCAAACTTTTCAAAGACTGAAAGCCTTGAGGAGAGAGTTGCCCATCGGTCAGTACTGTGGACGCAAAAGAGTACTCCTCCCGTTTGTCTCCTCATGACTCGAAAGTGCAGGAATCTTTAACTACATCCAGCTTTTGGGTCATGTGAAACTCACGGGAACAGTGAAGGGACTGAAGTGCAAACTGATCTCGAGACTCCAATAGGCCATTGAAAAAAAAACTGCTGCAATCCCCGCCCCAAATTCCACCCAATTTCACTCCCACCAATCACGGCGCGACACTAATTTGCAGAACCAATCGAATTACCCTCATATGCTAAACCAAGCCTACTTTAACATACCAACCAATCACATTGCCTTGAATCTGTACACCTCACGAATCAGATCACCTAATTTGCATAACCACTCCCAATTGTTCACCAATCACAGCATGTTATCCTAATTGCTTAACCAACATCCACAGCCATCAGCGGATCATTAAACATTATTCCGGCCTTGCCACACCCAGTTTCCAATATTTTTAGGAGTTAAGGAGTGTGACGTCAGGTCACGATGGCACATCGTAACTGCCACGCATCAGGAATGGTTTGACAACTATACGCGCGTCGATAAACCCTGTGCACAAAATGTACCGAAATACACGCTTCTCCCTCTAAAAGCCAGATAGCTATCAAACGCTTGATGCAGTGGGTCAAAGGCAAGGTGGGGATTTCAAACACTTGAATTCTTTCATAATCCACGTTGGTTACATTTCATCCCGTTTGGAGCCTCCATTCGTTGTTTAAACCACCGAAAAACATTTTTTTTTCCTGGCATGAATATGACCATCGATCTTAAATTGCTGCTAATCTGCATCAGCACTCCGTTGCTCACTAAAATGCCTTTATTCACAATATATGACCAAAAACAAGCCCACAACTACAACCCGATTGATTTTCTTAAATGCTGAACTACCTAAAATTTAACATGAAATTCATGTTTTCAAACACTGCGGGATGTCTCCACCTGCTGGCAAAAGTGGTGTACTTCCGCATATTAAGACCGTTTTGTTTTGTTTTTGGTTTTGTTTCCCCGTGTTCATTTCCCCCCATTTTACTCGATTGTGTTTAGCACTGCTATTTACAGAATCAGCGCATACGTTACAATTTGGGGCAAAGATATTTACTCGCGGTCGATGTCATTTTGATCCTTGACCGAAAGCAGCTTTTTTAGCAACTTCTCCATTGACTGTCAGATATTATTTTACAGCAAAAGCTCTTCATCCATTTGAGGGGATGCATTCATATTTATGAATTCAATGACCATTTACATCCTTTTTTCCAGTCAGTGGTTTGTTGTAAAAAACAAAACTAAACTTTTTGCAACTTGTCACCACACACTTTCCGGTCTGTTCTCAACAGCTGGGCTACAGCATGTGAAAAATCGGTCCATACAGGAACCTCCTCTTTACACGTGTCCCTATATTAGTCACCATTAGAAGTTCAGTTTGCATTCATTTAAATATTGTCATCCTAGACTAGACATGTTGGGTGTGTTGAATCAGGACCTCCGTTGTGACTAAATCAATGAGTCAGTTCTTACGGTTGACAAACTGGACTTTTTATCATATCATTCAGAGTTACGACTCGTGCTCGGTGTTCTCTTTAGAGCAAAGAAACAAACTGTGGAATTTCCCCCGAAACTTGAATGCAATTGTTGAGGAACTGAATTTGGTTTGTCACTTCGATTCCAGTTAGAAGTTAAGGTTCTAATAGTACCATTTTAAACAAATAACTTCCTTGTATGGGCTGGAGTGGCCAACCATAACGTTTACTTCACCCAAAATCTGCTCGCAAGAAGTCCACGAAAACTCTCTCCCCCACAAACCGAAAATCTCACATATAGATAAAATCTCTCACACCCAAAAACTCAGTCACACCACAAAACCTCTTTCGAAACAACAACGAATTGCAACAGAAAATCAAAGAACACACACACACACACACATCAAAAAGCGCAAAAAACAAACCAAAAATACGAACCTCAACAGCAAATAACAAAATCACAAAAAAAAAAAAAAACTAAACACAACAGTAAAATAAAAATCAAAAACAACAAACAAATCAGAAAACAAACCAGTAATTGCAACAGCAATTCCAGCAAATCCAAAATTTTATTTTTTTTTAAATAGCCAGAGTATATAAAGTGAAAAAAAAAAAACCCACGCAAGCATTTGGAGCACTCGCAATTTTTGACACAGAAAACTCAAGAGCTCAGATTTGAACCCAAAACCTCTGGACTCTCATGCACAATTTCTCACCACTCAGTCCCACCGTGGAACTGAATTCACACATCCCGTATATTGGGGAAGTCCCAGCCTACACCGAGAGTCAATATGCAAATGAGCCGCCAAGGTTAGAGACAGACTAGTCTCACCCGCATGTTCAAACAAGGCATCAAATTCATCTCTCAAGGTAAGACCAAAAACATCATGTGATTGCTTGGCAACACCATTTCACGCTCTGCATGTCTGAACACTACTATCTCATATTTGGGGGGGAAAATGGCTGAACTGGAAAGAAATCAATGACAACAAAGACCTTATTGGTTATAAACATCATGTGATTGCTTGGCAACACCATTTCACGTTCTGCATGTCTGAACAGTACTATCTCATATTTGGGGGGAAAATGGCTGAACTGGAAAGAAATCAATGCCAACAAAGATCTTTACCTTATTGGTTACATTTTTTGGATGAAAAAAGTGAACGCGGCAGCACAAAATGGAAGATTTTCCAATCTTACCAACCAAATTTATACATTTAAAGTAGACAACATTTCTCGAAACTCAGTGAAAGAAGCGGGGGATGGTTGGAGTCTTTCACAGCTGACCGAGCGCGTGCTTGAGAACTATGCTTGAGAACATATTTCTCAAGGATATTCATTCAGAATTGAATCGATGAGAGGAGTTTCATTTTTGACAAAAATGGCAGTTTTATCAATTACTCACTGATTTTTATTTTTTGGCATGATAATCTCAGCCAGGTACGTGTTGTGCATCCTTCTCTGTATTTGTCACTTTTAGGGAATCAGCACCAATGGGCGCCAAGTGCCCTGCGGGTCAGTACTGGGACAGTTTGATTAAAAAATGCCTGCATTGCAACGTGATGTGTCAACAGCCACTGGTCATCACCAAGTGCACCAAATACTGCGGTAAGTAAATAACGGGGCGGTAAAGGCCAGGAAGGGAAACCAAAGTCAGGTCACGTCTTCAAATAGAAAGTGTGCCATTGTTGAATCGAGCACTAAAGGTGTCCCGGCTGGTCCAGTGATAAAATAGAACGCTATCATTGATAATCAAACAATTGTGCAGAAAAAAAGTGAACTCTTCTCTTATTATTTGCTTTGTACATCTGCCCCCGTTAGTGTTAGCCAATTGTAAAACGCTGCCTGGCCACTACTATGATGGGCTTCTGATGAAGTGTGTCAAGTGTGGTGATGTTTGCGGGAGACATCCAGCAGAGTGCTTCCTGCACTGTCACGGTGAGTTTTGACTTGACCTTTGACTTCACAAACTAAGTCATTTTGAGATGGCTATCGTGGGTCATTCTTTTCAAAATAGCTCAAATTATGGAATTTTTGGCTTCATTCCAGTTTGTAAAATAATACCAGTTCTTTACATTTTTGTTTTAATTGCTATTTTTCTTTGATTAATAAAACCTATTAGTAGAACACATGAATGGCCGTTCTAGTCATTTTAATGGGGGAAATGTATTTGATAAACACTTAGCCCCTCCATCACAGAGGTTCAATTACGGACCACCCCCACGATAAGTGAAATCCGCTGTATAGAAAATTCTATGTAACTCCACCCTAAAATATTGTACACTGTACCAATCCACATTGTGTTAATAAACAAATCCATTTTTCCCCAAACTACCAAAATCATCTTCTCACAATATCCATCAATAATCAAGCTTAAAGATTTACCTTACGAAATGAACTTTCAGCCGTTGCTTTCCGTAGGTATAAAAAGCAGGATTTAAAAATGAGGTGGCATTCAACAATCTTGGGTAAAAACTTGGCTGAGCTGCCAGTACTTCCTGTTTCTTGTTCTTCTTCCTAATTTATACCTCATCAAACTAGTGTGCCATCTAGTGGTCAATAGGGTGATTAGTGTGTTATTGGGGGGGGGGGGGGGGGGGTCCTGTGTTGTGCATTTTCCATCATAAGTCCCCTTTCAATTCGTACCTTCTTCTCAATCAGCTCCCGTGACCACTAAAAAGCTCCCGGTTCAAGTGACCTCACAGCCTCGAAACGCCAGTGGGGTCTCTGTACAGACGGCCTTGGAAGACCCCTCCATCCTCCTCTATGCCCTCCTGGCCCTCTGTATGGTTCTGCTGGTGTCCAGCCTGTGTCTTGCCTTGGTCATATTCCTGAGAAGAAGATCTGAAACCAACGCCGACCGAGCGGTCGTCAAGCAGGGCCAGGGAAGTGCTCAGCGAAGAGGCCAGCTGGGTTCAAACGTCAAAGGTTAGTGTGGTGATGATACGAATGACATTTCTTTTTGGGTGTACTGTAATTTAGACACGATTTCATACTGACAGATCTCATGGCGCATGCAAGAGGTGCTACTGAGCCGTCAGATGAGTCCAGCCCCACTGAGACCTGCGTGTGCGTCCACTGCTACCCTGATCCCATCACGGTAGTCAGCAACAATAGGGCACCATCCAGAGCACCGATGGCGTACGACCAACAAGCTGTGCTACACCATGCCCTGATGCAAAATCGGTATCCCCTCTGGACACAGAACGTATCTCACACCTCCGCGTTGGAGGTACATGATGAGTCAATGGTGGGATGACCGAGACTTGATCATTTCAGGTTATTGAGAGTGCATCAATAAGCAGCAACAATGGTAGTATAGAAAATGCAATTACAATAGGGCTATTCTTCCTGGGACGAATTGAAAAATAATTCCAAATCGTACATTATTGACTGAAAACTCACCTATCTGCTGCTTTGGTGCTGAAATGTTGATAGGAGCGTCTCAGCTTCATTTTGTCAGACAAGTCAAGTTTAATTGAAAAGAGTGTTTTGCTGCTATCTGGTGGTGGCTAAAGGTAATTACAACGTTTTCTTGGTTTCACCGAAAATGGCGCAGCCTGTGTTGGTCGGGAAAAAAAATCTGGATTATAATTCTGCAATTATATTGACAATTTTTGTCAACTGAAAAAGGAGATGAAGACATGTAATTTAATATCTTCAATCATGTTCTACTTTTGAAGGGAACTCCTTTGCAGCTCCCTAAATTCATCTGAGGGATTGTTTCTTTGTGATATTTTGGTTCGCAACAGAAGTCAAATGCACTAAATAGACTTTTTCGACCACCACAATTTGAATGAATACATTTGGCTGCTTTTGGATTTTGTACCAGTGTGACTAAAACCTCTTGGGGAATCAATTTGGTCTCTTGGTCTTTGGCATCAAGGATGTTAGAAGAAATGGTCGTTGCCTGCCAAAGAGAGAAAGCCAAAAGAGACCGTTAACAAAGACAAACAACTGCAGTGCAAGGCATTTTGGAAGAACCATTTATCTGTCTTGTTCATGAGAACGAAAAAAATGCTTGCTGGACATCTTCAACTGGCTCAGGCCAGTCGAGAGGAATCAGTTCCGATAATTCTACCTTGCTTTGACATCCAGCACCACGCGACCCTCAGCAGGACAACTGCAGCAGACGTGGCAGGGATACAAAATCACAAAGACAAAGTACATTACAGATAGATTTTTTTTGTTTGTTTGTTCTTTATTTGAGTGTCTTGCCATCACTGTGCGTCCCAGTCTTTGCAGTCATTTTGTATTCAAGGAATGACTTCACAGGTCAAGACACCGTTTCGACTCCCGTGGCTGAATCCAGCGACATAGAAGAACAAAAAAAAATCAATATGGAGGTTTCACCATCTTGTCTCTTACGTACAAACTGTACATTTATATACTTTACATACATCTTCAACGTGTGAAAAGAAGGAAAACAGAAAAAAAAAAGAATATTCAGCTTGGGCAGCATGCTGAACTCAAGTACTGATTCAGTACACAAACACACACAACATACGCACGCGCACCACACGTGCATACAAACCCTTTAAACACACAAGACCACATTTTTTCTTTTTTTTTGTTTTTGTTTTAACAACCAGTTATTTTCCCCGCGGTCTTTTTCTTGTGATGAAGACGCACGCACACGCACGCACACAAACATGCAGCCAACAATAATACACTGCAGAATCAATTTGTGATCCTTTGTACATACTGTACTATTCTGAGGATACATCCCATATTGGTTCTTATTTTTGCATTTAACCACAAGCACATACCTTGAACATGAATATACAGTATGTTTCTAAACTGCCCGAGAATTATGTACTTATAAAGAAAACTTCACACAACCCCCCCCCCCCAAAAAAACAAAAACAAAAAAAAAAAACAGCTATTCTAACTAAACACAAAGCTGCCATAGCAGCATTTTCAGGTGGGTGTAGTTAGCTCTTTTTCTTTTTTTTGCGTATATAAAACAACACGGCACAATGAAACACGGACGGACGACGTGAAAGTGAATGCAAAAAAAAAAAAAAAAAAATCTGTAAACGAATCCTTTTTGAATTACAGTATTGATATAAAAATATAATATTTACTGAGTAACATCTGCCCCTGCAACCGTTGGAAGCAGCAATAGAGGGGGAAACATCCGGCGGAACCGAAGCTTCCGATGTCGTTGACCGACAAAAGAAAAACCTCACAAGTGACATAAATAAACAACTGTATAATGTTTATCAGACAACTTGTAAGGAGATGTTTGCTCCTTGATTTTCTTTTCTTTTCTTCTTCTGCAGTGCAGTGAAAAATGCATAAAACGACTGACAATATTTGGTCATTTCGAGACTGCGTGTGTGTGTATAGGCTACTATGTGACACGTGGTGTGCTTGTGAATTCAAATGACTTCCTTTGTTTTAAAAAGTAACCATTTAAAAACCAAAAACAAAAAAAACTGAGCCTTGTCTTCAGATAGAAGCAGTTCGTTGCTGTTTGACATTTACAAGCATTTAGCAGAGAGGTGGGGAAGCTTTTGGAAAATTGGCTTGTACACCAATAGTCGGGCCTCTCTAAGTGCCTGCCTGACCGTCACGTACGAAATTACACAGCCACTCCAAATTGAGCAATTTGTGACAAGTGGAGATAGCCGTGTGTGTGTGTGTGTGTGTGTGTGTGAGGGGGGGGGGGGGGTCTAAGCGTTCAGTTTTTATCCTTTGTGTATTGTGATTGAAGAATATCAAGAGAGCTTTTTTTTTTCCTGACACCCGGGAATATTGCATATCCCTTTAATGTTGTTTTGGGCTACGAAGACATTTTTAATGCTGCGAGTTTTGAGATAAACTGTTCCTCTGAGGTTTTTACAATTGCATAGCAGCCCAGAGCATTAATAGGTTCCCCACCCCTGCTTTAGGACGCCGTGAGTAAAAAAACGGCATTCAGAATCAAGTCCAAAAATCCGTCTGAAAATAAGAAAGCAAGGGAGGAGTTTAACGTTGATGATGGCTACCGGTCAGTTCCGACCTCCACGTGCAGACCGGCTTGGCAGATTTACAACCAGCAGATTGTTGCTGCGTGCGTCCTGAATTCCAGTGGAAATGTTAGTTGCAGTAGTGCGTCGGGGCTCGTGTGCGGGCTGCGCTATTCGTACTCCAGGAACTGTTTATGGTAAAACAAAAGGTACCTGGAGGAAAAAAAACAACACAATCAATGCGGTGTATTCGAGTGATTCTCAACCGGTGGGTCGGGACCTAAAAGTGGGTCGTGGAGCCATTCTGGGTGACTACAAGACTCATGACACCTGGTGGTACCCCCCTCCCAGGGCAGTTTTTAGTTTGTGCGGTCACAAGTTTTCAACGCAATGTACATCAACAAAAACAGCAAGTAGTTGAGTTTTTTATTTTTTATTTTCCCCCTCCAGCAAATAAAATATGATTGGTCCCCATTCTGCAAATGGACCAATTCCTGAATGCCGAACCAGGAAAAATGCCAGGCTTGATTCTATTCAAATCAAATACGATGGAAAAAGTGACGGAATGTTGCCAAGACGCGGCGGGGGATTCGCGACGGCTCACCCTTCACTGTCCAGCACGGCCTCGATGCTGGCCTTGGTGATGATGGCGTCGTCACACTTGAACCACTGGTCCTTGTGCTGCCTGATGAAAGTGGTGTAGTGGCCGCTCTCTAGTGTTCCCTGGTGGTTGACTACAGCAAAAAGGCTGTATCTGATTGAGACAGCAGGTGGGAGAAGTGTCACATCAGCAGCTTCTAAATCGAAAGTTGATCAGCAGGATGGGAATTTTTTTTTTTGAAAGAGTCGGAATTAAGAGTAGTATGGATCCGGAATTCACTTAATTTCAATGGGGAAATTGAGTTGCAATTTGCCGCTTAATGAGCCACTGGTCAGCTTACTTATTGTCGTTGTTGAAGGGCTCCACAGTCTGCTGGTACTGGCCATTCATCCTGCTCTCTTTACTGAAACGCACAACGGAACATTATTTCATATTCAGGGAATTCTTAATGAGTCGGAATAAATAAGGAGGCAGCGGATATCTGTGGAAAGGTTGTCACAATTCGGTGATCCAGAACAGATTGAACAGCTCTCACCTGGAGGCCATAAATGGCGTCATGTCCAGCTCCAAAGGGAAAGAGACGTACGTCGTGATCTTTCTCCGGAGTTTGGCAGAATGCTCAAATCGCTGCAAACACACGCACACACAATACAATACAATACAATACCATACAAACAGGATGTCAAGCAGTTGGGAACCGTGTTGAGCTCCTACTTTGAGGTGAAAGCAGGCCACAATGGGCAACTTCTTCATGGTCAGCTGCTTGGTGGACTCCTGATAACTGTGGCAACCGCTGCACTTGATCTTGGCGCTGCTGCCCAGGTGCTCTGGTCTGGTGAACCTAAACGAAGAAAAAGGTGAGACTGATAAGTCTGTTGGCGATGATGCCGCTCTGTGACGAATGCAAATTTAATCCATGAAAATGGTTGTGGATCTACAGCATCAGAGATAGTAAATACCAATAGAAGACGTACAGTAATTCTGCGGATTTGGACAAATGTTGTCTTAAAACAGTTCTTGCATTGATCTACACAGCTTTTTTTCTTTTCCTTTCCAATTTTATGTGCAACAATAATCAAAGCAAACTCAGGCTACCTTCGTAGGCAGTCTGTCAGTGTCGTGGCTCCAGTGGCGTGACTCTCTCCGTTTAGCGTCGAGCCATCTCCGCCGGGACTTAGCGGCCAGAAGGGAGTGGAGGAGCCCGGCAGGTCCAGGCTGATGTCCCAAAATGGGTCTATGGTTGTTGAGACACCGCTGGAAGGAGGATGGAGACACAGAATGGCTTGGAACACCAGCATTTTCTGGGCTGCCGACACACTTAAGTTGAGGCAGCCATCTGGAAGTGCGCGACTTAAGATGACACCAACCAGCACTCTTGTATTGCAAAAGGTTTTTAGAGTAACTCAGAAAAGGAGGTAAATGTATTTTTACCAAAAAAAAAAAAAAAAAGAGGAATACTTGTATCCTGTTTCAATTGGCATCTGTGGAAATAACCAAGCTATCAGCAAGAAGAGCCTGTCCAGTTTCTGACCACCAGGTGGAGCTAGCGTTCAATTTGAAAGAGTTTTCTCTCTGCTGCAGGAGACCGTGCCTGTGTGCTGACTGCAATATGCAAGTGAGGGGCAACTACACGAAGCCCAAACACACACTTACTGGCAGACTTGGCAGGTGACATCAGACTGCAGGCCCCCTGTGAAGATTTGGTCAATGATGCAGTTACAATGGTTTGGGTTGTTGGCTTTTTTCCCATTGTCATCTGGATGAACACACACAAAAGCACACCGGCGGGCTGCTTATAAACTGGGGATACACAAACCCATGAGGCTGATCAACTGTCACTTAGATTATCCACCAGTTTCACAGTCCCAGCTCATCTTCCGTCCTTCCTCTCATATTTGTTCTGCATCTGCTTCTTTTTCACTATTTTCATTGTGATTTTTTTTCTCTAGTTTTTATCATCCTTTATGCTTGTAGGAATATTTTGTTTGATTTTATGTATTGCAGGTATCAGAAGCGAATGACAGTATAAATCCTTTTTCCCCCCCCCCATTTCCTAACTTTTTATTTACAAGGAGCACAGTGGCCCCTAACTTGAAACTTTCGGGGTGCACACTGTAATTCGACTTCTCGAAATCAAGATGTATTGCACTATTGTGTCAATCTTGACATTACCACTCATTTTCATGATATGACTGACAATTGCGCTGCAGTGTGGGAGTTTGTCAGCATCCAAAACATATTTAAGAATAATTACAAAAAAATATATATCTGCAATCTACTTGCACTGTCTCAAATTTTAGGGGCAAAATGCCACCATTTGGGCACATGTATGGATATATAGCTGACACCTTTTTCTTCCTGTTAAGCGTCATCTAGTTGAGACTGAATCAAGAGTGCCTCTGCTGGTTGTAGCTCAGAAGTGCAACTAATTTAGCCTCAATCACTTCTTTTATTTTTGGGCTTTTGGGTGGCACATTTTGGATATGCGTCATGACTGCTTAAATTAAAAAGAAAAAAAAAAAAGAATCAGATATCTTCAACTTCGAAATGTGGATACCAAGGATTTCATTTTACATCCTATTGACATGAAAGAGGGTTTACAAAATAACTTACAAGAATCAGACTGACCTTTGCAGTGCCTGTGTAGTACATCCAGTGCAGCGATGAGGAACTCGTGTGCGTCCTGTTGCTCGTAGCCAGCCAGGTGACGGGCGTGAGTCCACACCAGGTGGAGCAGACGGAACGGGATGTGGGGTGAACGATGGCCTGAGTAGAACTAGCGAGGTACCATGTGCGCTGTCAGCAATTGAGATGTGCTCCTCCACACCTCCAAATAATTTCTTAGCTGAGATACAAAAAATAAAATAAAAATAAAAAAGAAAAGGGTACCTCCTGGAAGAGTTGCGACATTTCACACACTAAGCAGGAGTTGCTCTGCATTTCACATTTGTGTCGGTCGGACAGGAAAAAGTCCCGCAGCAGCGGCGTGTGTGTTAGTGCCTGGACAATGCAGTTCATAAAGCATGTGTTGCCAAGGTTGATCAGACCGCGTAGGCCTGGAAACAGAGGAGGGGACACAGAATGAGAGGCTGCACCAAAAATGATACACACAAAATCAGCCATCGTCATTTGCAATCATTTTTGCGGACCTGGCCTCAGTCGCATTTTGGTTTGCGGCGGTGTATGCATGTACAACGGTTTTATCTTCAAGCAACACATTTGCTTTGTAATGGCGAAGACTCAACTGGCTCGTACTTAGCTTCGTACAACTTCAAACTAAACATGAGCCCCAAAAAGTGGAAACAGCGCACGAGATTGACAGGTAACTACTCAATGGTGCCCACTCCTCGATTCTTGACTGAAGCGTTCGTGCTCCCGTCACCCAAAAAGACGTTTGGTCGAGGTTGGCTCGAGGGCATGTTGGATTTGCTAATTTGCTGGAGTCAGAGTGGATTCACTGCTTGTTAGCCTTGGGTTGCTATTTCTGGCTGCCGCCTGCCCTTTGATTCTGTGTTGTTCTAGACAGGAGGATTTCACTATTTGTTTCCTACTGATCGAAATTACAGATATTTAAAAAAAAAAAAAAAACATTGATAGCATTTATACATCAATTCTCACTGTAATTAAGATTATTTTTCATTTTTTTATTTCATTTTGCTTAAATTAAGACGTTATGTAGTCATATTCTAAATACTTTTGTATATGCAGAATAATTGGAATTATTTTAAATTCTGACGTTAAATCACATTATTTTGTTTTATGTCAAAGCATTGACTGATTAAATACAGATTTTCAAATTCAGAAATTCTACAATTTTAAGGTGATCCTGCCTATGGGCTTTCTGCAACTATAAGGCTCAGTTTTAATCGGGACGGACTAGTCTGAGTTTGAATATTTTCAAAAATATCAATGCCATAAAACTCGAGGGGGGGAAAAAAAAAACACGTTTTCTTTTTTTTTTTTTTCCTCATGCAACATTTGTGCATATGCCCATTTGCTGAATGCAGCATAATTAGCATTTCATCTGTGAAGTAAAAATAAAGACAAGTGAGAAAGTGGGTCACGGCGTGCGCGCTTCATATGTACATTTCGAGAGCATCGCTAACCAATAGTGCAGTTGGAGGTGATTCTCCTCCTCTTGGGATTGTGGCGGAGAAGGTCCAGCTCCCTCTTGGTGGGCTCCCATGACAAGTACTTCTCACCAACGCCTGCAAACCACCACACGGGCATCCAAAAAGTCATTTTCAATCTATCTACCTCAACCAGACCGTGTTGCACATTTTTTATGCAGATGCTGGTTTTCATTTTTTTCAAGGTGCCAGTGGGGGATAAGCAGTGAAAAACAAACATTTCAGGTTCATCAATTTTGCCACAATTCCAATTTTTAACACATATTTTAAAAAAATAAATAAAAGTGAAATACATTTTTCTGAGAATAAACAATATCCTTTCTGATGAACCAACCTGTTCACGGAGAAGCGCCATTCAAAATCAAATGATTTTAGCATTTTTAAAACACATGCTTAGCTATCGAACTTGTACGTGTATATGGAGAGTTTCTGCTTGTATAAATTTGGGGAGCAAAAATGTGTCCAGAGGTATGCTGCCATGCAGCGATTTTCTTGAAATGGATGTCTACAGGTCGAATTGGATTGACATTTCAGCATGGTGGCCACACCATGAGTTTTTCTCTCTCTGTACCCATAGCGACAGAAGCTTCAATGGTAATTTTAGCAATCCTTGCTTAATAATGCTGAAACAACCTCCTGATTTTTTCTTCCCCCTTCAATGACATGAATCTGGGAACAGGACATTCCCAAACAAAATGTGCAGAATTTGAAACACGGTGGAGACGCTAATTAACCATTCTGAGCTGAACGGGAACATATTTTTTTGAGGGGGGGTGATCTTTTCACCCTGAGCTGCGATGAAATGTGAGTGAATGTGCTTCCAGACCTTGCATTTTCCAGGCTTTCCTTTGTTCCTCTTTGGCAATCTGTTCCATGTCTTTGTCGTAAATGTAGTCTTGGCACATGAAGCAGTAAATCCCCCCATAGAGCAAGTCAATAGCTGCAAAGTCAAGACAAGGAGAGGATGAGAAAAAGAAGCCAGAAAAAAAAAAAAAAACCACAAAAAAAAAAAAAAAAAAAAAAGAATGCACAAGGGAGCGTTTTCTCTTTCATTTTATTGAAATGCAAGGTTGCTCTCACAGTTTATCTATTTTGTTTGTCAGAGGCTAATGGAGGGCTGTGAGTCAGTGCGAGCCGTATGAGCCGCTCGATGATTCGTCTCTTGTTCCCCCCCCCCCCCCTTTTCGGGCAA